CCTAAACCCAAAACCCTAAACTCCCAAGGTCTGGACCTCTACCATCCGAGCGAGACGGCACGGGAAGTGGCGCGCCTGGCGCCAGCCGCGGAGCTCGTTGAAAGGTGCAGGGGGTGTAAGTGTTTAGGGATGAGGGTTTAGGGCTCAGGGTTTAGGGTATAGGGTTTAGGGATGAGTGGTTCGGGTTTAGGATTCACGATTTAGGGTTTAGGATTTAGGGTGTATAGGGTTCAGGGTTTAGGGTTTCAAATTGGGGTTTTATAGGGTCTACGTGCTTGGTCGTTGTTGAACAATATTGTCGTTAGACTCTACTACAGCCCCATCAGGAATACGAAGCTCTAATTTGGAATAGCATCCAAATGGAACACCCTTCAAGGGTTTGCGGGTTTAGGGTCCACTATTGCTATTGCCGATGTTCTTGCTAGCGCTGGTACGATTAACCATCTCTATTGCTCACCGAAGCCCTAATTCCTAAACCTCAAACCCTAAACTCTTCTCGTTGGAGTTTGCGAGTGGTGGTTTGGGGTTGAGAGCTTCGGGTCGGTGATGGGTATTACAACGTATCTCTCAAGACAGGGCTCTGTACTCTCGAGAACGCGTAGCTCTGTTTCAAAGAGCCCGCAAAAGACCGACAGTTGTAGGAAACCGCGCCGGAGCTGTAAAGTCTGAACCTTCCATGGTCACTCGGATCCCTCCATATCCTGTGTACAGTATGACCCCTTGACTCCTTGAGGTCTCCTTCTTCTTATTTAATGAAGGGCCTCGTAGAGTACCTACTGAGCTCACTGAGACAGTCTGCAGCCGGAACTCGCTTTAGCCCCAGAAAGTTCAATATCCCTCAGTTAGGGAAAATGCCCTACATGATACGAGGATCCCCTACTATGATATAAGGTATACTCCCCAATTGAGGGATGTTGGACTTTCTGGTGGGTGTAGGGTATCAAAGTCAGGTGGCGCGACAGCCCAGAGGTCCTGGAGGAGGTGCCGGCATGACCTTGAGTAACATAGGGTAGTCTACCAAAAAATAAAGGGATGCCAATCTAGACCCCAATATACTATAATCCTTATTATGGAGGACCCAACAAAATGTACACTTTTTTTGTTTTTTTAATCCCCCAATGTCAAGGAAAATGTTTAGTATCAACTGTACCTCTTTGGGCGCTGCCTGCTTTTGATTTTGGGGTCAGGTGGGTTCAGGTCCAGGAGATCTCCGCGATGATCTCGGTCCAGCGCCCATTTTTCGGAGGTTTGATCTACCCTTAACCCTAAACCTTCCTGTTTTTTGCCAGAGCAACGTTGCTGACAAAGGTGAACAAATTCTCGCTGGCATCTATAGCCTGGGTTTGGGGCTGCTGTAAAGCGAGAATGGTCTGAAGCCTAGGGAACCCGTTGACAAAGCCTACATTTTCAATGACTCTCCGCAGCAGGAACCATGGCCTGCTCTCTCTTTCCCCCACCCCGGACTTTCTCAAACAGTAGGTCTACTAGCGCGCAGGAGAAGGTGATGGTTGAACAAATGCAACCCATAGTCCCTGATGGGCCTGATAGATACTTCATAGTTTTGGGTGGTCATGCGGGTTTTATCAAGTTTGCATCTCTGGGGCTTGGGGTTCTGGCATGAGGCCTTCTACCTTTGGCCCGTTTTCGCTTCTGCTGATTTTGTGCTCCAAGGGCACAGGGATTTGGGGTTTCGGGCTTTGCATCAGGCAGTGGACCCTAAACCCTAAACCCTGGGGTTTCGGGCTGTGCATCAGGCAGTGGACAAGATCCTGAGCTTCCTTGCTCAACATGGCATCCCGGTGGCCAGGGCATTGGCTATATAGGGGACACTGGAAAATACAATGGAAACTACTACTTAGTGGCTAGGATCTGGGCCAGGGGTATAAAGTGGAAACCATTATATATTAGGGGGTATATAGGGTTTAGGGGTTATAGGGAAAATGGAAAAGAACATGTAAACTACTATATCATATGGTTATATTCAGATTCTCAGACTCCAGTACTTAGGAAGATTCGGAGAAAGATAAGTTTCATTCAGAATTCATTTCAGTGGCACTTGAACGTTTGCTCTGATTGCCAATATATTGTTCTTAAACCTAAAAGTATTTCTTCAGAGCTTCTCAAGTCAGTGCCAACCTGCCCCACGAAACAGTCCCTCTTGAGGAGGAGCCCCTACTCCCGCTCATCCGAAATCAAGTCAGGCGCTTATCTGAAGCCTTTCACGAACTCAGAACATGGGGCAAAATTGCTATACATGTGGAATCTGTAGCTACAGTGCGGCTGGAGGAAATCTTGCACCACACTGCATACCTCATACCTTATACCCTCAGAACTTCGGGATCCTAAGTGGTGCAGGATGTCCAACATCACTGTATCTAATGCCTTAGGAGGACTCGCACCCTGCAAGCCTTGCACACGTTGAACCCCAACAGGATCACTGCGCTAGAAACCTTGCACCACGTGTATCGGCGATTGAGATATCAACGGTTGCAGGACCGCTTTAGCCGCTACTGATACTGATACCGCCCGTAGTCTCAACATGCGTACATTACAATTTGTGAGTCCATTCCTGTTTGTTATTAGTCTTACTATTACTATTTTCTATTATTGTTAATGATATCTTTATTTACAATTTGTGATTCCATTCTTGGCCTCAGGTAGTGCCATCATCCCCGCAGGCTTGTAGCCAAGTGGGAGAAAAAGATTGCCCGCTGCACACTCGTGAGTTGCTGCAAGGGAAAGCATCCGTCAGTGCTGTGCAGGGCATCTTGTACACTGATGTGGGCATGACATGTCAGGTAAGAATCTCAAACTCACCGACTGCAGAAGAATTGAAGGACCTAAATTTCCTGCAACCCGCTGGGGGAGGCAGTAATTCGCCTAAGGCGCTGGCATCAGCTGCACTGCGTCTGCTGCCAGGCGCCTGTAAGCTTGGGCGAGATGAGCATGCTTTGAAAGCAGCTTAGATTACTTCTAGTAGATTGAAACACAGCCAGAAGTGCAAGCTTCATGTGAGCAGGTGGGACTGGCCTGCCTTCAGGATATTTCAGGATCGAGAGCAAGGAGGGTGCTTCAATGCGGGAAGTCTTGCGAGAGTCCTCGTTGTAAGTTGGATGCGGCCACCACTCTAATAGCTTCGGCAACCCGCGTAGGTTGTCATGATTGTTTCTGAGATTTCTTCTCTGTGATTCGTAGCTGAACGGGAAATTGTGTTGAAGTCAAATGGGCCTCTGAACCACGGGCCATTGGATATACTCATATATGTCTAACTGTTTAATACAATGTTGGCTATTCATATGTAGTCGTCGACAGAGTTCTTCTGACCTTTAAGAAGAAGGCCTCCTGGCATTTGTTGCGGATCAGCGTTGGTAGAAAGGTTGCAGTCCACTCCAAATCCCAGAGCCTGAGCTCTTTTCATGAGCGCTTGCCTTCAAGACTTCGATCGATCCCAAAGCCAACATCCTGAGACAGTGTCAAGACCTGCAATACAAGCTAGGGGTAGATGCTCGGGTATAGCATGACGAGGGCAGCCGAGGATGCAGCATGCATGATAGTGGCGCTTGCCACACTATGTAAGACTAGCACTTCGATTAGTCATCGTCAAACTGATGGGTGCCACCATGGTTGTACTTGTTGTAGCGGTTGCCCTAAGGGTCCAAGTACCTAATAATCATATGCTTACCCAAAACCAATACTAGGATTATTATTACCCAAATCCCAAGTACCTAAATATTGGGTACATGGACCCTTAGGGTTGCCGCTATAGAAGCAGAAGTTGCAGTCGTCGCGGTGAACTGTCAGCCCCAGCACCTACGAATGTGGGAGGTGCCGGGCCACAGGGCGCAGCCAACACAGCCTGAAGTTCCGGCGCATTGCGGGTGGAGGCTTGAAGGTTTGAAAAGGGCTGGCCGGGTTTTGGTGGGCTTCAAGATAGGGTTTAGAGTTCAGGGTTTAAGGTTTATACGCTTTTGGGCCACCCAAGGGGTGCATGTAGGTAAATGATGGTAAATGGTTTATAAGCAGCCCCAAAAGGGTTCCCATATCACCACATGGGTGCCCACGTATATATTTTATAGCTATACGAACCCTTTAGACTATAAACTTGCCCCGGCATACTTAAGTTTGACATCGCCGCAAATGTGCGACATGCTGCATGCAGGCAGCTTCTCTGTTCGATGCACTCGCGTGCAGCCCTGAGATTGGGATCACAGAAACTGACCCTGAAGCCTAAAATCCTAAACCCTAAGCCTGACATAGATAGTGGCATTTGAGAATAATATTGTGGTGTAGAAGAATAGGTCTTGTATCTATCAGAGAAGGTGGGGCGGATGAAAGGCCGCTGAGCAGCAGAGCTTCCTCTATGAAACTAGGCTGTTGTTGAACAAGTTCCCTGAAACAAGCAAGCATCAAAGCACATTTGCTGGGAGGGTTCCAGGGCAGATATAGGAAACCTTGGGGAAGAGTTTTCAGATCTATCGCAACATGCATAGTGCTGCAAATGTGTAAGATGCATCACATCCATACAGACACGCTGCACATGGAATCGCTACAGTGTCAAAATGACAGCGATGACAGCTAGTAGCATCGCCATAAAACACCTGTACTCTAGAAGTCTAGTAATTTGCAATGCGATGGTCCTGAAACCCTTGTAGGATTATGGTTCAGCTCTACAGTATGATCACCATAAAGCTCCCTATGAAAAAAATGTCCGCAGCCTGACCCTAGACTCCACATAGGGATAGGGGGGGAGCTATGCCAGCCCGCATATAAGTTTCCCAAAATCAGGGGAGCCCAATACGGACCCCAACATATTAGTGTCCTTATTATAGGCACCCCCAAAAAAGGTACCCTTGATTTTGGGAAACCCCCGTAAAAGTGTCAGTATTGCAGCAGGCTCCCGCATCCCAAGTCTGATGGACCCCTAGCGCTACATCCTCAATCGACCCTAAACCCTCTAAACCCTAAACCAGTTTGGAAGTCCGGAAGTCGAGGTGATAGTTGCCCAAAATAGGGGGACCCCAACATAGACCCCAATATAACAATAATCCTTATTCTGGGCACCCCCCAAAAGGGTATCCCTAATTGTATGGAAGCCCTAAACCCTGTACAAACCCTATATAAACTTATATGGCCCTATATATCCCCGTATAAGCCGTTTAAAAAAAATCCCTAGTTTTGGGGAAACCCTAAACCCTATACGAACTCTACAAACCCCAGATATCCCCCAATATCCCTGTCAAAGGCTAATTTTGGGAAACCCCCAGGTCATACAACCCTATATAGCCCTATATATCCCCTAGAACCCCTTTAAAGGTATCCCAAACCCTAAACCCTAAACCCTAAACCCTTTGGGAACCCCCCAGGTCATACAGCCTGGAGATCCTCAACCAGCTCGAGCACCAAGGTCTGCAGTCCTCCCAGTCTTTCCATGCTTGGAGGCTTTGTATGCGGGTTATAGTCTAAACTCCTTAAAGGGGTTATATAGGGGATTCTATAGGGGACTACTATGGGGGTTGCTAAGGGGGAGTTTAGACTATAGCTCATGTGGGGGTTGGGATGGGCGAGTTTGGAGTTTGTAGACTTTTGGGGGGTGTTGGGCGTGGGCTTATTTTGAGGTTGACATGGTTTAGCAGCTGCTTTTTGTTCAGGTAGTAGCCTCCTTCCATGTTCATCGCGGTCCTGGGACAGAGAGAGCAAGAGAAAAAGAGAGAGAGACAGAGAGAGAGAGAGAGAGAGAGAGAGAGAGAGAGAGAGAAAGAGAGACAAAGAGAGACAAGCAAGCACGCAACTACCTTCTGGGTTCGGCGGTGTTCGGGTTGTAGGTTCGAGTGTGCTCGCATTCAAAAGGGACACTATTTTATGAAAAAATCTTCTGCGTCGGGCAGCCAGACTCCTCATGTTGACCATGGTCTTTGCACCACGCATAGCAGCGCAGAAAAGTCATGAAGTCTATGGCTGTCTGGTTTTGCCCAGGAAACTAGCCTGGCTGAAAGACTTCAAGAAATTCATGGTGGGGCGCCATCGAAAACCACTAGCAACCTTGGAACGTCTGACGGCAACACCAAAAGAGACTTCAATAAATGCATCAAATCTATGCGTTGGCATGGTTTGCGGACTGTTTGTGCGGCCGTCTTGCACCCACTGTAGATATTTGGGATGTAGGGAGCATAGTGGCATAGTGACATTGCCATTGCTGTTGGAGATTCCCATTTGATGACGGACGGTGCGCATCTATGAGGAGAACCCGTTTAATGCTTCTTGAAATCGGGACATATAATGCGTGTACCAGAATCACAAGGCCCAGTTGAAGCCATCTCACGTGCCTGGCCTTGAGGAACTGAGGAGGAGATACCACAAGCGGCTGTACACCGGAAGACTGTTTCCAAGTAGCTCCATCAATGCGCAAGAGCGGTACCATCCCCCAAAGCACCAGTGCAGCCAACGAGCACAAGCAAAACGCCGATCAGGTCCAACACTCTTTGAGGGTTTGGCTCTTGCGCTGTGGAGAACAAGCCCCTGATTGGCGCGCCTTGCAGTCAGGCTCGGACGGTTCCTATTGTTTTAGAAAGCTTCATCGGCTTTTGGAAGGTGTCGACGGGGCTCTTTGCAGATTGCTGGCGAGCCTATTTGTTTGCTGACTGGAAGGCGAGATATTATGTTCCGTCATTGAGTGTTGTTTATGTTGAGATATCGAGAGCTGTTAATTTGCAAAGCGCGATGCCAATCTGGGGCCCTGTTTCATTGGTTCCTGGTGCAATCAGAATGCATCCGGAGCTTTGAAGCCCCAAGCCGTAAGTAAGCTTTCTCTGCACCAAGCATCTTCAGGAATTCACCAGGCGTTCAAGACAAGCCTCTAGACTCTAGACGAAGCCCTCCAGTGCCCTTCAAGTGCTTTGGACGCAGAGAATTCAAACTTATGAGTTTGTTGGGATGGCCTTCGCGGTTACAAACGGGATCAAGCTGTCTACAGTGCAACTCACATGTACTTGTTCTAGTTGTGAGAAGTCCAGCTCCAGTTCTACTACTCCTTCGGCTTTGTATTAAGAACTAGTCGTACTCTGTCTCTGCAACATCACCTGCAACACAGTTTTATTTGTGATGGGCACGCGAGTGCTTGTCCAGTTTTTCTGGCGAATTCCTTTGAGCTCAGAACTTGGGTAGACATTGCAAAATGCGCTGAAGCATTGTTGTCCTGT